AAAAAACCACGGGAAACAGCTGTAGATACCAGAGACAGTTTGGGAGGGTGGGAAATTGCAGAGGGTGAGAAGGAGGGAATCAAGGGGGAAAAAGAATTAAAATATATAAGAAACAAGAAATGGAAAATTATTTGTTGATGATAACATGTATAGTATTATCTTTGATTGAGCCAATGTACAGTGTATTCTGGATGGGAAAACTCATTTTGTATGCTGCAATGATATACAGTGAATGAATGTAAAATAAATAAATTTAAAATTTAAAAAAGGCCAAAAAAAAAAAGAAGTAAAGTATTTTGGTCCTGAATAAAAACAGTCTTATGTTTACTCTCTCACTTGAAAGGAACTTTGCTATGTGCAGAATCCTACATTGAAAATAATTTCACCTCACTATTTAAGGTCATTATTCATTGTCTTTTCAAAAAAGAGGCTCATTCCTTTAGTTCTTAAAAAAATTAATAATTTATTTGATAATTACCTAACAGATAATTACCTTAGTTCTCTCTCTCTCTCTCTGCATCTCCTATCAACTTTCTTTATTAATTCTGCATTGTTAGTTTTGTTCTATTATCCTTTGTTTGTTTTTTTTTTTTCTGGGAGCCTGCCTTAATTATTACCCCCTTTTCTACTGATTTATTTTCTTCCCAAATAGCATATATTTAAATCCTGAGAATTCTTATTCTTTGATCATTCTTTTTTATAGTGTCCAATTCTGGTTTCATGTATGCAATATTTTAACTCCATGATAATATTTATTATATGCATGAATAGGAGTGTGGCACTATCTTTCATGCTGCTCTTTATTATATCTGTTTCCTCTGGACTTACATTTTCTAGTTTTTTTGTTGGATTTTGTTACTTCATGAAGGATGATTTTCTCAGATTCTGATAATCTTTATCCATCAATTTCTACTTAAGGCTGAATATTAAGAAAGTTTATTGGTGAGTAGAGCAGCTTATTCTACACTTGTTGATTGGTGAGCTAGGTGTGACCAAACCATGAATTGGCATTTTCTTTAGGATATTCACACTTTTCAGTCTTGACATCTTTGCTTTGAAGCCATTGGATCTGAACTCCTGATAAAGAAAAAAAAATTACACTTGGTTCTTGGTATTCTAGAAGCTGGGGTCCTTTTTATTAATATTAATTTTAAAAAATTTTTATATACATTCAATCACATTATTTAGCTTACAAAGTGAACATTTCAATATGTGAGCATTTCTCCCCAGTGCAGTTGATCAAAATATCTTCAACCGATAACACCACACCTCCCCATCCCGTCAATGCTCTGCCTCCGTATCTCTCCTCCAAATGCCCTTCCTTAAGTCCCGCTTCTCCACACACACCACATCTGGCACTAACCCCCATCTCTTGTGTTTGTACAACCTTAGGTCAATCAGTTTCAGTAATCGAGTGCAGACACTCGGTATATATTAAGTAGGGACATACAATGTCCTTCCTTCATAGACTGGCTTGCTTCACTCAGCAGTAAATCTTTCATTTCTTCCACTTTCTGTCAAAAGCCAGGGTTTTGTTGTTTTTTATGGCTGAATAGTATTCCCATAGAGTATATGTGCCACAGTTTTTCAATCCATGCATCTGTACGGGGGCATTTGGGGTGGTTCCATGTCTTAGCAATCGTGAAAAGTGCCTCAATAAACATTGATGTGCAAGCACTTTTCCAATGAAGAATTCTTCTGTCCTTTGGGTAGATACCAAGTAGTGGGATTGCTGGGTCATATGGTAGTTCTATTTGTTCTAGTTCTTTGAGGAAACTCCAAATTGTTCTCCACAGTGGCTGGACCAACCAGCAATGTAATAGAGTTCCCCTTTCACCGCACCCCCACGAGCACTTAACATTTTTTTTTAAATATTAGTGTTCTGACATGGGTTAGTTGGTATCTTATTGTGGTTTTGATCTGCATCTCCCTTACAATCAAGGATGTGGAGCATTTTTTCATATATCTTTTAACTATTCAAATGTCATCCTTAGAGAGGATTTTTTTTCCTCATTCTTCTATCTTTTAATAGGGTCGATCATGTGGGTTTCTTTTGGGGGGCAGGACAGCTACTTGATTTCCTGTGTATTCTGGTTATTAGTCCCTTACCTGATGCATAGTTTACAAAAATCTTTACACATTCTGAGTGCTGTTCATTCACACTATTACTGTGTCTTTTGCCATGCAGAAACTTCTTAATCTTATGTAATCCCATTTGTCTATTTTGAGAATTATTAACTGTGGTCTGGGAGACTTACTTAAGAAGTCTTTGCCTACCTCAATATCTCCCAGAGTTTCCCCAGTATGGCACCATTTGCTGAAGAGGTTTAGCCACCAAAAGTATAAGATATTTAGTTATAAATCTAACCAAAGAAGTTAAAGACCTCCACAAGGAAAATTACGAGAAACTAAAAAAAGAAATTGAAAATGACACAAAAAAGTGGAAGGACATCCCATGTTACTGGGTTGGAAGAATTAATATAATCAGAATGGCAATTCTTCCCAAATTAATCTATATATTTAATACAATGCCAATCAGAGTACCAGAAACATTCTTCACAGATATGGAAAAGGCAATCATAAAGTTCGTCTGGAATCACAAAAGATCCCGTATTGCCAAAGCAATTCTACACAAGAAGAGTGGAGTGGGTGGCATCTTACTGCCTGACTCAAAAATATACTACAAAGCTGTGGTAATCAAAACAGCATGGTACTGGCACAGAAACAGACATGTGGACCAATGGAACAGAATAGAGTCCCCATAAATAAATTCCCAAACATACAGTCAACTGATTTTTGACAAGGGTACCAATCAATCCAGTAGGAAAGGGAAATGGAAGCTGGGATCCTTTACATCAGATTTTAGAGGTTTATATACCTCCCTTTTAGGGTACATTTTTCCCATGACACTTTTTGCACCTAGTATACTCTAGTCTGGAGTTTTCATTTCAAAATTTGCAGAGAATATACCATATCCCCCTGAAGTGGAACAGCAATACTCACATGATGGCTACAGATGAGGAAGGATACCTGGGATTCCTGTGTTGCCCTTTACCCTATCTATTTTGAGAACCAAAGATCTGCGTGGTAGACATTTCAGAGAGTCAGTAGAGCAAAATTAATCACTACTTATAATATTCTATTCTGTTATCACATGAGACTAAATATTCACTGCTCTGCTAAAGTAACTACCATTCCTTCACTCAGTTTATTTTACAGATTGATCAATTGTCAGCTGTTGCCTACTCTACTGTTATCTCAGTTCTGGTGGGTTAGTGACGTTTCATCTCTTACACTCTTGTTGAAGGAGGGGAGAAAAATTAAATATGTGAGGCCAATTACTTTTGTCAACAAAAAGTTCGAAGCTCTCTGTATTTGAGACCCATCACTCTGTCATACGTGCTGATTTATGTACTATATCTGCAATCAAAATGCCACCAGGACCTCTGTCTGAACTTGTCCTAACATACCACCCACCACAGCACTTCTAATTTCTTCTCTCATTAAAGAGTGAGAATTTTTTTTATTTTGCAAATACACATGGAAAATACTTATTTTCCCATTGATTTAGTAGGAAATGTAGTTAATATAAATTCTTTAAGTTACTTTTTGTTGTTGTTGTTTAGTCTAATATTCATATGTTTGAGTACTATACCAGAGGTGAGTCGTGTATGTATTTAGAGTCATAAGGAATAGTTTACTTGTCTTAAAACTAGGGATGAAGAGGACCAGCAGATGGTGTAATGGTTACATCACTGGATCCCTACGTAATCAACTATGGTTCAAGTCCCAGATGCAGTGGCTTAAAACTCACACCAGGCACGTGTGCATGCATGCCCAAAATCCCCAAGAGAAGAATGAAGGAGAAGGATTGTGGCATGGCCATAATTTTTCACTTCCTGTCTTTCTGTATCTCTAGCAAGCACACATGCACTATAACAAAATTAGGGATGAGGAAAGACTCAGTGTAAAAAGATCAGCTGCCATTTCTGCAGGTTTAATTAAGGAGCTCTTTATTTTAGATTTTCCCAGATCATTCCATGGAGAAAACATTCTGATATCAATTTTGATAACCTTGTGCTTTATTTTTCTTTGTATTTCCATGTGTTTATTGCTATGGTTTTAAAGAGCCACCCCTAGTCAAATAGGAGATTTCTTCTGATTTTGTGACTAAGTGGTGCTTAAGCAGTATGCCAATGAGACATTCATTATGCAAGGTGCCACGGCAAAACAGCCAATGATCTGTGAAGGAAATAGAACTCGTCTTTGATATTTTAAAAGTGCTTTCCAAGACAGGTTATAGCAGTTCATCACAAAAGTAAAGAAAAATAATCTCAAGTAATTTTATAAGACAAAAGAATAGCAAGTATGTACTATCTTCACTTAAAAGCACATAAACTGCATGCAATCTGAGTTTTCCCCAAGCAAAGAGTTCCTGAATAGGTAGAAGAAAAGTTCTGCAAAATGCATCAGCCAGAAGTACTGTGCTAAATTGCCCAATTACTCATGCTCTATAGAAACTTTCGAAACACAGTTCATACCACTTGCTGAACTTATAAGTTCATTGGCAATCATAAGGAACAAGACAATAGTTTACTTTTCCTATTTTGGGGCAATGAAAAGTGAATGAGGTCATAAACTAGATATGTATCATTATCATTTTATAAAGGAAGGGGTTATGGTCAATTACATTATTTTCTGTTGTCTGCACGGCAACAAATAGAGGCAGGAGAAAAATCAAGAAAGTATCAGTACACAGGCTGGCCCTGATGACATGCACAGACCCCAGGATTGGGGTCAAAGCTACAGGATGTGAATAAGTGGATGGGTGTGCATGAAGGGCCTGCCGGGTTCATTTCTCTTCCAAAATCCCATCGACTCAAAAAACTTACGTCTTTGATCCCAGGCAAGCACACTCAGGAGTCCAGAGTCAACACCACCACCGCACCTTCTACAATGAACAATGCACCTATACTTCATTTAGTTGGTTACATAAACTTCTGGTCATTTTGATGATAAGCCTGTGGAGGGCCTGGGCTGAAACTGTTACACATTTTAGCTCAAAACTATGCACAAAGGAATCATGAATACATGTGTTTTGGTTAGAATGATAATAATTAAAAATAAAATGGTATGAATGATCATAGAGAATACTGATTAGACCAATTTAATAAAGCCCCCATCACCACTCCACTAAAAATACATTTTCGTATCTTGATGATTTAATCGAAGATTACTATATTGCAATTCCCAGCTGCACAAAACCTATTCTCAAGCACAATCATTATAATCTTGTGCTTTATTAAACATCTGAAAGGAATGGCATAATGGTCCTTCAAGGACAGCTCCATTAGGAAAAAAAATAGAATAATCTACAGTATAATGTGTTTAAAATGCTTTTTAAAATAGTGTTGTCATTAAGGTGATCAGCACCTGGGTTATTCTCACTGAAACAGCCTGAGGTATGCTTGATTAAAGAAACAGCTACACCCCCTTTTTCTGTATATGTCTTCCTGTGCTATAGTTTCATTAGAATGAAAATCTTCAAAACTCCATTAGATATTAGTGTAATAAACTAGGTTCGGAATAAAGAAAATAGAATTATATGTAGCTTTTTTTTGACCAATAAAATTTAAATAATTACATATATATTCTCACTTAGATATGGATTAAAATGACTCCAAAATTCACTTTGATGCTAGTCAAACTGCATGCTGAAGTCAAAATGTGATTTTAAAAAGCACAAATCAAGGGCTATCCCCAAGGCCCTTGTTAAGGGAGCTGAATCCCACATGGTCAACCATGTGTTTGAGTCCTAGCCCCTCTGTGGGGTGCATGTGTATGCATGAGCAAAATTCTAACAGGATGGAGAATTGGAGGAGAAGGGGTTGCCATTTGACCACATCCCATTGTACTTTCTCCTATTCCTCTTTCTCCTTCTGCCTTTCTGTCTCTCTCTGGTGAGTGTATATGCCCTCTGGCAACAAAAAGTAAAATAAATAAATAAATAAGGCACAAGTCCACTATTCTTTTTTATCATTTTTTGGCCAAAATTATGCCAGGTAGTCAAAATGAATCTTGCTCAGGAGCTAATTAATATTCCCCAATCTGTGTTTGAGAATAAATTGGCAGTCTACTGAACTGAAAGATAAATAAGGTGAATAACACATTTCTATTAGGACCAGAGGTGTATAAACATCCTTTGTGTCTGAAACCATTTTTAAATGTTCACATCAACCATGTTATGATTCTCATTTTTCAGATGATGAAGACAAAAACTGAAATGATGTATATGCTAGCCTGAGATGCCATAGAACCTCCTGGCTAAAAGAGAATTCCAAACCAGGTCTTCAAACTGACCCTGGGTTCTTTGTACCATGCTATCTTTTTAAAGTTTTCCCTTACCTGGCACTTGCCACAGTGCCCAAATTCTCCAGAACATTATTACATGCTTTGTAAATGAATCTGTAAATGGTTTGTGAAAAATGAACCTCTTACAGCCCAGCAGGCAGCAGGCAGCGATAACTATTATCTACCTGCTGTGAGACTTAGGGCAAGTTAGTAAATCTCTCTGAAACTTAACTTTCTGTGCTTTAATATCAAGATAATAGTACATACTCACTCTTGAGAGAAATCCATGAAATACATGTAAGAAGAACCCTCCCAGAACTTGGCTTAGTGAGTTCTCAAAAGCAACCTATTTAATATGCATCTCCATTTGAGCATTATCAAAAGCTAAGTGATAATTAAAACTGTGAATGTAGGGATTTTTTTTCCCCCAAAGATGGTATTGTTGAAGGTGAAATAAATGGAGAGTAGATGTAGATGACATGCTCACATACGAAATAGGAAATCAAAGGGCACTGGGGAGGAGGCAGAGATAATAAAAGAGCAAAAAAGGTAAAGGCTGAGAAAAATTTTGAAAAAAGAATTTAAAGAAAAATGATGACACTTAAATACATGCACTTATTCTATGGGTGGTAATTGAAGGACCCAGAGCAAACAGAGCATTTATATAATTATCTCCCCCTAACTCTATGACTCATTATTGTATAGAATAAAAGAGAAAATTGAGGGACAGGAAAGTTAAGTATCTTACCTGAGGTCACACAGCCAGTAGGTGAAGATGAGAGATTCCAATTCTGACTGTCTGACACCAGAGTCTGTGCTTTTATCGTTGTGATATTTTGAACTCGATCTCATCTGAGCTCGGAGTCAAAGCCAGCAGAGGTTGAATGTGTACTGAAAATACATAGCAACCTAGAAGACTTCTGTCTTGAAGGCAAAAACAACCAAGTGTACTACCACCACTCAGACATATTTGACTCAGTGTAGTAGGGCACTAAAAGCTTGATATAACGAGACCATGACATAGACATTGTTATTCTTCATTCACATGCAAAGACTAGTAGGATCACTTAGGGTAAACAGATGTGGCTAAAAGACACAAAAATTTCCCAGCAATCCAGTCTAAAGCTTGAGTATGTGAGGACTGTCCTTCCATCAAATGCTCAGGGCAGTTTGAATTTGCCAGGTCTGACATCCTGGGGTTTTTTCTTGGTCCTACATCCTTTGGGGTTTTCTTAGACTCATCTTTGCTCTCCTTCCTCCTAAGCACCACCACTTGAGATTATCAATCAGTAACTGCCTAGGCATATTTTCCACTTGTTCTTAACCAACTAGGTGGAGTTCTTCATTATTGGGTCTAGTTGGAAACAGTCCCAAACTGATTGTACCATTGCTAGTTGTGTGACCTTGGATAAAGCCTTTAACCTCCTTGAGTGCATCTTTGTCTATGAAAATTGATGCTACAGGCTCCACCCCACAGGGCACTTGCAAAGATACAAAAAGATTATAACTGTGAAAATATCCGGTTCTCTTCGCGGTTAGTGTCCCGGACCCGGTGGCTTAAAACTCACACCAGGCGCGTGTGCGTGCGTGCCCAAGATCCCAAGAGGAGAATGGAGGAGAAGGGATTGCAGCATGAACATCCCCCCTGGGGGGTGATTTCTCACTTTCTGTCTCTATGTCTCTCTGTCTGTCTGGCGAGCGCACGTGCCCTATAGCGAAAACCTCTCAAAAAAAAAAAATATATATATATATCCGGTCCTCTATAAACATTTGTTGAATCTGGACTTCAGGAGTAAATATTACTTACGAACGTCTGGACCTATTGTTTTGAGAACCTCACTATTGGTGAATCTATCTCAGCTTTAAAGATGACCTATAAATCACCTGGATTAAGCAGTTCAAAATATTGGGTGTGACATCAGATATAGGACCATTTCTTTTCAGCATACCCAACAATGGCAATTTGAGGTAGTTGCTGCTGCAGACAAAAATGCGTGCAACCAAAATATCCTGAGCCATTATTATATATCATTAATGTCACTTTTAGCATTGGAAAACTGCTTTTCTGTCATTTTTATAAGTAATGACTCACCCATGCCTATGCTGTAGTTACTATTGTTCGCAATTCTCATCAAAGTGGATGGTTTGGAGCACGCACAATCAAGAGCTGGTATCAGAGTCAGGATGAAAACTGTCTCACTGTGTTGTCCAATCAAGCCTCATTGACCAGGATTAGAATGCAGTCACCTTTGAACTTTTCTAAACAAATAGCTTTTTCAATCAGCCCAAAAGTACACCCAGGTAGAACTTTTTTGCTTTGTTTTATTTTCCTATGGTTAGAGGTAACCCCACTGAAACATTTAGTCATAATGAGTTCTTACCAAATTCAAGAGTGATTATAGAAATTCAAAGATGTGCATTTTGAAATCAACTTTCAGGATTGGATACCTAAGACTGGGTATAAAGCCTAAATAAAATACCACCTATATGAGAAAGAAACTTCATGATTTCTTTTTTAAAATTATTTTTTAAAATTCACATTTAACCACTGTACATCTTTACCATGTACAACAACATGGCTTTTCCCAGCATGAATACAGTATATATTAGTCAAGTCAAAGACATTACCAATACATTATCATCAACAGATAACTTTTAATTTTTGTGTTTATTGAATATGTTGAAGAAATTTTGTCTTAATGTTAAGGAAATGAAGTCATAATTTAAATAACCTAATTATATACCTAGTTAGTTAACAACAACAACAACAAAAAACTAGCACTAAAACTGAAATCTTTTTCCTTCAAGTTCAGTGTGTATTTTTAAAAAGGTGTTATAAACATAAGGGAATGAAAACCTAAGGCTATTCTATTATTTTATGAACAACTAGGTCCCTCCTATCCTAATACCAGGGAAGGCTCAGCTGTGACTCTCTCCAAATTTAAGAATAGCCTTAGGAAGGACATATGGTCAATAGTGGGTTGATCAAAAATGCATTTCTATTGTAATAAGAATGGTCTAGGTGCAGGGGACTGTCTTCTGGGGCAACTTGACCTTCAGACCTTTCTTGAAAATTTCAATTTCTCCTTAATTTATATGCACAGGAGATCAAAATATAATGATCTATGATGCTAACTTAAGGGAGTTGAGATTTTTGGGAAATAAATGGTTTGAAGAATTTTCCCACTTAAAAAAAATCCAGAATGTATTATATCTGTCTAGCATTTATTGTCACTGACATGTGTGATGCTTTTCAGACAAGAATGCATTGTCTTCCATATCTCACTCCAGTTCATGTACTGTATTCCATTCAGGACTTTTTCTTTTTAAAGAACCATCTGCCTAAAGTGACGTTATTAATTCACTTTGTTGTGTTTTCTGACATAGCTACAAATTGCAGATCATACTTGTTTTTAATAACAAATTGTTCATAGAGCTTTAGGCAGAACTTAACATGAGAGTCTACATATAGACGTATTTACATTTGTACTCAAGCAATTCATATTAACCCTAGTCTATGTTTATTAACACCACAAGCATGTGGTAGAACAACTCAGGTTAACTCGAATACACTGTAGTTGTCAGTTTCCTGGTTAGGTCCAGTGAGCTCTGCTTTAAAGCTGCAGTTTTATTATCATTATACATCTGTATATTATCTCAAAATTTTCTTTAACATTATTAAATTTAATGGAAGCTTAAGGCAGATGTTTCCTAGAAAGTCTTTATTAACTATTCCCTTACTGTGCAACTCATCTGACTACTGGTCCTGGAGAATTAAGTCTAATATTGTTTACTTTTTAAGTTGAGAAATAAAACCTGCACATATTTGTGGTGTCCAACATGTATTTTGAAATATGTAGACACTATGGAATGGCTAAGTTGAGCTCATTAACAAGTGTATTACCTCATATACATTACATGGTAAGAACACAAAATCTACCTGTAGCAATTTTCAAGGACATATTGTTCTTAACTTCGGTTGTTGTCTTAGTCCATTAGTGCACTGCTAACAGAAATACTCGAGACTGGGTGATTTATAAAGAAATAGATGCTTATTGACTCACATTTCTGATGGCTGGAAAGTCCAAAGGCATCACAAAACAGCAAAAGACTAAACTTAGAGCAGGGCAGTCTATATCGATGTGGATCTGTTTGCTTCATTTTTCTCTCTTTATAAACATACTGGAACTCAACCATGGGAATCCTACCCCAATGACTTTATCACACCCAAAGGCACCCACCTAGAGACAGAAAATGGGCCAAAGTTTTCACTTAATGCCTTTTCAATACAACACACTGTTATGTCCTAAAACATGAACTTCTGACGGACATCCAGTCACTACCTACTAAGACCAATTTCCAAATCCTGAACCCTTGGAAGACAAGTCATTATCTCAACCATAACAGTCATCATGCTGCATTCTAGATGTCTTGAACTTATTCTTCCTGTCTAACCGAGATTAGACAGGACTCCGTATTCTTGTGTCTCATACTGTTTGTTTATTGGCAATCCCACTTTACCCAGCCAACTGTAAAACTTTCAACCATCACAAAATATTAAATCCCACAGTGCCTTTTCCTAGCTCAGAATGGGAAATACCTAAGGGAGGTTGACACTATGAATCTGGGCCAGGTGCCAAGAGGAGGTTTCTGGTTACTGACAATGGAGGTGTAGGTCCTATGCCCAGAGGCTGGTGAGAATGGGCTTTTCTGAAGTCAGAACCTCGATCCAGAGTCCACATACAAGGAGACTGTGCCATGCTCTTCACCAGAGAACCACATAAAAAATCATTTGTGCAGTGAACACTAGCTTTGTTATAGTGGATACAGAAGATTTCTTCTACCTTTTATTTATTTCTTTTTAGCTATTTATATTCTGAAAAAGGATATTAATGAGTATAATGAGTATATTTACTTGTTTAGTTATGATACTCAATCATTTTAATTGTTGGCTTTTATTGTTTTTACTGTTTTTCATATTCTATGATTTTCTATGCAAAAATGCATCATGACGTTTCCAATGATCATACACACACACACACACACACACACACACACACACATATATATATATATATTGTAATTATGGTAGAACAAGGGACGATATCTTATCCATAAAACTCACACCTCTTGGCTTAGTAACTCACATTCCTGGTTCTTATGTATTCTAAATGGTCGTGTCTCCATTTCTTTCTCCTGCTGCTCGTTTTCTTTCTGTCCCTTAAATGAGTATGATATCCAAGGTTCTGACCTCTCTTCTGTCTCAGACACTAACATATCCCCTGAGCTCTGGCACCACATTCTAACTACCTGAACATGTTCATCTATTTTCAGCTAACTGCCTAATCAACCTCCTATTTGTATTTCAGTCTTTTGCATTCATTACCCAGCCTAGTCAAATGCATGCTAACACACACACACACACACACACACACACACACACATACGTATGTACACACAGACTCCCCATTGTACTATTCCTAATGCTATTTATTGTACCAATATTCTGTGAGTCAATCAGTTCAGAATTTCAGCCAACTTTGATTTACTTCTCTCCCTCATAAAATTCCTACCATCATGGTACGCCATGATGGTGTCACAATTGTATCTGCTTTCTGACATGGCTTTCTTCTCTGAGGTCCCATTTAATTCAGTCTGGATAAAACTAAGTCCCTCGGTCACTGCATTAATTTTTAAAATATTCAAGAAGGTTCTGGAACTAATTCACGAAACTTCAAAGTAACTTGGTGAAATTAACCTGACACATAAGACTCCACCAAATGTGGGCATTTCTGTGCAAGGCTACCTTTATATTCCCACATTTTGTCTCCTTGTTCTCCTCAATGCCAACATGTAGAGAGAATGCTTTCCATCCATATTTCAGCCTTTTATCAAGTTGATTCCCTTCACCTATACTACTGACAGTCTATTCTCCTCCAAGGTTCAGTTCAAATCACATTTCCTCTGAGAAGACTTCCATGAACACTCCAAGGCCTTCTTTCTTCCCCTAAACTGTGGGGACAGTCTACATCACTCATATCACATCCACAGCATAGCACCTCACCTTGTGGCCATTGTTCTTTGCCATGCATCAGTGCCATATTGTCAGCATGTTGGAGGCAGGGACTATGCCTTATTGATGATTGGAATGAGACAGTGCACATAGTTGGTGCTCAGTAAGGGTATGTCTAACATTAAATAATGGGCATTTGAGTCCCCTGGAAGAAAAGGGAAACCAGGAACAAACAAATCAAAGTGTAGAACTGAGAGGGATAAGGATAATCTGTGCATGTGAGGAATTATGACTTGGATCCCTTCAAAGGCACTTCAAGTTTTGTGGGGTGCACCATCTCTGGTGACCCCAAGGTCCATCCCATAACCCAAGGAGGAAATACTGAGCCCTAATGTTGGGCTTTCCTTTCCTAGCCCCTACCTCACTCCTTTTCCTGCAGCTGGACAACTCAAACCCTGCTAGATCTCAATAGCATTTGCTACCAGTCTTGCTCCAAATCTTTATTCAGCCATTATAACTAGACTTGTCTCTCCTCCTACCTAACATTCTAGTTCTGGCAGCTGGAGTCATTTCCTTTATGCTAAGGCTCTGCCTTGCCAATCTCCCCTGTTCCCCAGTTCCCTTAGCTTTAGATTTTAGTTTGTTTCTGAGTACTATCCTCATATCTCCACCAGCATATAATCTTATTCTTGAACTTCAGCCAAATGCCCTCTCCCTGCTCTAGTACCCTTTGATGACAAATTTCTGCCTACCAAAATCACTACCAAGTTACAGTCGTGTGTCCAGATGCCCCTAGAATTCCTTACTGAGATGTTCACTCGTTGGCCAGGATATCTAGCTTTGGCAGTCCACCTAGACTTGCTCCCAAGAGTAGGCAGTCCATATTGCCCATAGACCCCTAGATGGGAAGAACTGAATTAGGTCCATGGACCCTTTCCCATTCTATTGACCTGGCTCTGACCACAGATGTGACTATTGGAAAGAGGTCAGCTGTAAAGAACCCCAAAATACCAAGCACTAGTATTATTCTACCTACAGAGATGCCAAGTCAGCACTTTCCTTAGCTACACCTGTATTGATTTTATAAATCTTGACCCAAGACAGTGAAACTTATCCTCATTGTGAGCCCATATGGGGGACATGATCAGAAAAGGACAGAAAAGTTTCAGAAAAGTGAAACTTCTTTTTCAAATTGCCAGAAACTTCTTTTTTAAATTGCACTCACCAGAGAGAGAGAGGCAGAGAGAAGGAGCAAGCAAGCCCACAGTGGGGTGTATCCATGCTACAATCCCTTCTCCTCCATTTCTCCATCCTGTTGAGATCTGGGGCATTCACATGCACACACACACACACACACACACACACACGCGCGCGCACGCGCGCATATGCGCGCACACGTGCCAGCATGTTTTTCAAGCCACCAGAGCTAGAGTGTGTACCATGGTCATCCATGATGAATGTGGTTTCCCTAACCATTAGGCTGTGGGGCTGGCCAAAAAGTGAAATGGTTTTAAGAGAAAAGACATTGAAAATAGCATCGTAATCCTCTGTACTTCTGTAATAGGTATATAGCATGCATCTAAGCAATAAATACATGCACTTTGAATTGCTCCAAAACTACTGTAATAAACCAAATTTCATTTTTAATGCATGCAGTAAACTTTTTTCCTAGGATATCAGTTAAGATTGCTCTATCTTAAAAAAAAAATAAAAACTGACTTACTCTGTATGCTTATAGCACAGAATAAATAGATCAACTAACTTAAAAGTTGGCAGGTTTACAGTTCTTACAGAGAAGAGAAATTAAAGCCAAACTGAAGATAAAAAGTAAGTATTTTTTTATATTTATGAAGTCTTAAAATTATAGGCTGAACATACAAGGTCACTACAGAGCTGGCAGAGAGCTGAAGTTAAATATTTCCTACATTAGCTTTATTTCCTCAAGTCAGAAAGTATGCTCTGGGGGTGGCCCTGTTAGCTAAGCAGTAGGTGGAGGGGTGGTTCTGATGCTCTGGGCAGTGTGTATCCTCAGTAAACATTTATAGTTAAATCCCCAACTCAAGACTGGCTAAATCCCTTCTTGAAGTTTCGTCACATGGTGAATTATGAAACACAATGCTCTCTTGAGTATGTACACATTATACTGTCTTTAGATTGTAATTATTTTGTGTTTATTTTCCTGAGTGTTTGTGTTTACTATTCCCCTTAGCGGTAAGTTCTGCAGGACAAGATCCTTACTTTCCTTATCCGTAATCCCAGTGTTGTGCATAATAACATCGCCCCAAATATGGTGGTTTCTCAATAGAAAGCGTGAGTGGATAAATATATTTTATATATTTTATATACACATACACACATATATACACATACACACACACATACATATATTTAGCAAGCTCCCTTGAGAAACTTGCCAACCCTAACACCTATCTAGATGCTTGGGAAAATAAGAAACCAAAAGGAACAAGTCAGCAACAGCAATAAGAACAACAACAAAATCTCTGCTTGTTCACTAAATATATAAGGACATCCAAGCACCATAATTTAAGGTGTCACTTTCAAAGCTAACATTTGACTTGATCACCTTGAAAACCTGTCTCTAAAGCATAAGAAAAAATATTAATCTTCCTTGTATTCATCTCTCTGATCACTAGAAACTTATTAACATTTAATTGTCTTGAATCTGAATTTGGTTTTCAGGAAGCTTCAGAGAATTAGCATACTTTAAGTTAATCCTTGTAAGATATTAGTTTTTGATCTCAAAGATGGTTAATTTAGGTTGTTTACATGTCAGATTTGGACAGAGTTAAAGGTTAAAGCCTGCCTTTGAAGTCTAAATCTAACTGACAGTTGATATTAATAATTCTATCATTACTGAAACTGTGATTAGAATTGTCTAAATATCTCATGCTAGTAAAAGTGTCATATGATTCCTGCTTACTCTCCCTGGGAGATGACCTGACTTTTGAATTTTCATTACCCCTAAAATTATCAGCTTCAAAACAGCATTTATGAAAATAAATTAACAAAAACATTTAAATGAGGTTTTTCTGAAAAGTTATGTGCTCATACAAAATTGAAAGA